CATGTACGGTTCCCACACGGGCCCCTGCCGGGCACGACCAGTAGGACTAGGGGACCACGGGGTTCCAGAATGTTAGGGGCCTAGGTTAGGGATGTGTTAGCGGGTTAGTGTCGGTTCAGGACCTGTCTTAGGGCCGAATTATGGTTCAGGCTGCGGCCCGCGACAGGGCCCCCGTTTAAGGCCAGGTACCGGTTGGTTAGCAGGCCACTCAGGCCCTGGGCCATTTTAGGCCCCGTTGTGTCAGTGTAGGGCGCCAGCCTCCAGAAGTTTTCATAGGTGCCAGTTCCCGCTCAGGCCCTGGTGCCATTTGGGGAGCATTGAGGCTGGACTCACCTCGGACCAGCGCTACTTATAGCTGGTCCACCCCTTAGTACTCAGGTAATATCAGCGGTAGTGTTAGTCAACGAGCTGGGCGCTGTTAGTGACACTAGTCTACAGCGCTGGCCGCGTGGTTAGTGGTGACGTCAGTGAGGGGATTCAAGATTGGGACTGCCGTCAAGCTGCAGTGGGAGTTAGCGAGTAGGGAGTGACGAGGCGGAGGCCAGGAGACTTACCTGACGACTTACCTGCATTGCCATAGCTCCAGCCTTGTCTTCAGCGCGTCCTTACCTACATCAAGGCGCCACCTTTCTGCAGTACCTGGACACATCACAGAGAGAGACTTATACACATCTAGATGTGTATAAGAGACAGAGCATGCACTGTAAACCAGAGGCAGCGCCACATCAACATGCAATGTAGACCAGAGGTAGTGCCACATCAGCATGCAACGTAGACCAGAGGTAGCGCCACATCAGCATGCAATGTAGACCAGAGGTAGTGCCACATCAGCATGCAATGTAGACCAGAGGTAGCGCCACATCAGCTTGCCATGTAGACCAGAGGTAGCGCCACATCAGCATGCAATGTAGACCAGAGGTAGCGCCACATCAGCATGCAATGTAGACCATAGGCAGCGCCTCATCAGCATGCAATGTAGACCATAGGCAGCGCCACATCAGCATTCCTAG